TTATGCGCGGCCCGACGTAATTAAGCCGCCTCCTCTCTCTCTCTCTCTCTCTCGTTCGGGGAACGAAGGACGCGCGTGACCACCGTACGAACGGATGAGAGGAGAGGATTCATCCGGTCGATGACGGCGGCGTTGCACCGCTTCCTTCTGCCTCTGCGGTTTTTCCAACGGGATTCGGTGAGATTCGAGGTGGAGGAAGAAGATCGTGGGAAGAGAGGAAGCGTTGCGGTGATCTTTGATACTTGACTCCTCCTTGACTTCTGATGTTTGAAATTTAGGAGAGAGTTTAGGAAACGTGTTCCTTTTCTTTTTTTTTTTTTTCAAATCTTCAATTTCGTTCTAATCTCGTCAAATAAGATTTCGTATTCGTATTTGTGAGAAGAAAAAGATTGATATGCTTCGAATAAAGATATTATTTTTCGTCGAATAGTTGATAAGAAGAAAGAGGATCGGACGGATTCAGATATACAAGAAAGATAATGCACCGCTGCTACAACAGAGATTTTGTGTTGAAGATAAATTTGGCGTACCGTTAATATGCTAAATAAACGTGTTAAAGATACAAGATAACACGAGAAGATACCTAGGAAGGTATTTAAATTATGCCGGCAGATTTATCACGGATCACTTCATCACAGAAATGGATATCAATGAAATAGGTGTTGTAAATGTCTGCTAGAAATAATATTTTGTGACTAATAACAGGTTGCAGCTCGAGTGTTGATTGAAACAGGTTCTAAGGAAATTTAATATAGAATTTTGTAAAGAGAAAAGTAGACTCGATAAATAATATACAGGATGTGTCTCGAGACGAATCGAAAGAAAGGAAACGTGATTCTCGAATAAATCAAGTTTGAAAAAGTTTCAAATATAATTAATTTTGGCTAATTTTAATTTTGGATATCGTTAAAGAATTATTTTAAGAAAATAGTTTTTATTTTACAATGTTATTCTAAAATGAATAAATGTAATTAAAAAAATTAGGTTATATCGATAAAATTTTTCCTTTATCCTCTTTTTGCTTGCACCACTTATTCTCAGACACCCTGTATATTGTACGTGCGAAGTTATGCTGTGCAAGATTCAGAGCGTAAGATTTGATATCGAAAAATTCTTGGATAATGCTACGTTATTTCGTTATTAGAAAATCACAGCAATTATTTTAATGAACTATTGGTTCTAGGTATATAAACGACCATCAATGGTCGAAACTTATTTCTGAAAAGAAACAACAAATTTTTACGTATATAGCGGTATAAATATAATACTTAATTCCAATTTTTAAATAAATAAAAAAAAAAGAAAAAAGTACGAAGGAAACACGTTGTAAAATTCGTTGTAATATCTCATCGAATCTTTCTTTTATATTATAAAATTATAGTATAAAAAAAGTATACTCGATTAAGTGGAACAAATTTTTATAAAACTGCACGTGTGCCGGTTAAATTTATTAGAATATATTAAACATTTCACACGATAAGATATTTAATGCATTTTAAAAAGGAACGAGGTCATGTTTTACGATTTATTTAACTAGCAAGCACGTAACACATTCGGCCAATATTTTCAATCGAAATTTTATTTCGCTTAGTTGCGAAGTGAAAAAAAAAAAAAATATTTTACACACGACTTTACATACTTTTAACATTCCTCTTTGTCATAACCTTTAATTTATCGATTAATTAATATTCTTTAGAGATTGGCAATGAAAAAGTTTCCTTTCTCGCAAACCTATATTTAAAACAATGTGTGATTACAAATAAAAAAAATTCTGAATATAAAATCGTAAACCAGTAAAATATTATTGTATTAAAAAGCTTGATAAAATCCCAAATTCAAGAAAATTTAAAATTCCAATCAAATTCAACGACAAGTGCAGCGCGCTCTCCCTCTCAACGCACGCTTCATTCAAGGCATATAGATTCGCCTTCTGAAAATAGTGGCGCACAATAATAACACGCCCCGCGGAATTACAATGTCTCGCATAACTTCTCGCCATCCGCGAGATATTAACCAAGCCACGTCTCCCCCTTTGCACTGTGGAAAATATTAATAATAATATCGGCGGATATAAAGACGACTCGGTGAAAGAAGACACGTCCACGCAATTATCCCTTGGCTACTTCATTATATCAATAATCAAACGCGATAGAAAGACCACGGTTGGCTCGTTATTGCTCGTAACTTCTTCTCCTTTTCTCAGCTTTACCTAACGCTCGTGCTTTTTCGACTCGGAGAGAGAGAGAGAGAGGAGGAAGAAGTTTTTGTCCGAATGAATTTTTAAATACAAATTTCGGTGGAATTGGAATTTTTGAGACTCTGTACGTAAAATACATTTACATTACAAGAAAATTACACTATTTTCAACGGGGTTTAACTTTTTCCACGAACAAACAGGAGGACATTTGTACATTTATGCAAGGACGAGCAAATAACAATAGTCCAAAGTTTTGTTCGAGGGATGAAACAAATCTCTGTCCAAATCTCGAGTAATAAATCATTAAGAAAAATCGTGTTCATCTTGTCTATAACATTCCTCGATGCACGCTTCTTTGTTGTTCGTCTCGATACACCTATATAAAATTTACGAAACACCCCTGTATACCCCTCCAATATCCTCCAGGCAGCCTCGTTCGATTCTTCTGGCACGAATCGCAAAGTGGCTCATCATAAACTCGTTTAAATGATCGAGGCGAAAGGGAAACTGAAGGAAAACTGAAAGAAAATGAAAATCGAAATTAATCACGGGAGCAGAAGTGAGAGGAGCGCTCTTTTCAACCGATAACGATTCGAGTAAATTGCGTTAGAACGAAAATTTCCTAGAGAAGATTTCAACCGGAGGGGGAATGAGCGATACGGTTGTAACGCAAATAAATTGGCCGAGTGTGGAGGAAACTTGGCTTCGTGTTGTTTAATCTATTGATTCGCTTTAAAATCTGCATTCGATGCCTCGTTGGAACCAAGTATAAGTTTACTCTTTCCTTTTTTTTTTTTTTTCTATCGAATTATTTTCCAATTCCCACTGGAATTCATTGAGAAACTCGAGGATTCGAAGAATCGTTACATCCGTTCTCATCGAATAACTGGCAAGTCGAGGATCTCTCTTATTAGTTGTCAAAAAACAACTCTTACTCGAAATGTTCATTTATTTCCAAACGATTTGAACGAATCGAATTATCGTCAGAGATAATTCGATGAATCAAAAATATCGATCGATCCGTTCACCGTTCACCGTGAATTAAAATTGCGTGTCGCGATAATTACGAGCCAATTATCGTGAAAGGAACGAGAAATACATTGGCCGCCTCGTGGCAGGCCACGCACCACCTTTATCACTTGAATATCGGCGAGGAACAACAACAACGCTGCTCGGTTGTCGCGCAACTATTTCGAGCACGCGGTTGTCGATCCTGCGTGTCGATCGCTTGAAGCACGCTCGATTCAACCG